TGCCGGCCGCCGGGTTGGATCCGTCCACGTCCCGCCAATGGGTCGTCCCGGCTCTGCTCAGCCATAGTGAGAGTGGCGCTGCGGGGCGCGGGCCACCCTTGGCCGCCATGATGAGTGTGGCAGCTCTTTTACCTCCCGGGCCCCCTTGGCGAGTAGGGCTGGCGCCACGTAATTTGGGGCTTCCACGGTTTTAATGTATTCTTTTCTCTAGAAGCCTTCTGGAATAGACAGAGCCTGTCTCCTCCTAGCCTAGAGCTCAGCCTGCAGCAGCCCAGGAGGCAGGGAGGAGGCTGGGGCTGCTGCTTCAGCCTTGCCTTGCTCGCCATGTGGCTCCACTTCACCTCACCTCGCTCCTCTGCCCTGCCTTGCCTCTCCATCTGGCTGCTCCAGAGGAGGGCTGTGCGTGACTGACCAGGCACGAGGCAGCTGCTCCTGCCCCACAGCCTCCTCTCGGGCCTCGTCGCCATGCTCTCCCTTGCCCGGTCGGGTGCCCCCAGGTGTCCTGTGGTCCCCTTGCCGCCACCTGGGGCTCCCAGTCTCTGGCACTGCGCTGATCTTATCAGCGCAATCTTCATAAGATCAGCGCAATCTTCATGCCAGCAGTGCGACCAGGTGGCTCCCTGCAGGGCTGGTGAGGCGTCACACTGGCAGAGAGCAGTCCCCCCAAGCCGGTGCTGTAAACACTGACACCCTCCTGAAATTAAATGGAAAAAGAAAATAGATGTGTTTGCTTTGAAAATAACTTGTAATTGGTAACTTCCAAGAAGCTGCATGCAGCGTTCTGGTTATCTGTGTTGCTGTGGAGATACTAACGGGACAGCCAAGCGGCCTACAGGCCAGTCACGTCTGGGCCTCCAGAGATCAGAGTGCAGAGCTGCCAAAATCAAGCAGCTAAATAAACAGTGGTTTATCTCAGAGGTGCATGGGGAGGACGAGAGGCAGCAGCCATGTGTTGCAGTAGGAGAAGTTCTGTGTGGGTGTGAGGAACACACTCCACGGGAGAATGGTTGTTCTGCCTCCAGCCCTGGAGGCCACTCTGTTGTGACTGGACAAGGCTTGGGCGACCTGACCCAACGTTGAAGCTGTGCTTTAGTGGGAGGTTGGCATCAATGTGGTCCCTTCCAACTGAAATTATTCTGTAGTTCATTGTGTGAAGGGAAACTTAATAGCAAGATGAGAATGATCTGTATATTGTAATTGCAAGTGGCTATAAGCCTGATTAGACTATTAATGTTACAGCAACTTCAGGAGCACGGTTACAAAGTCAAATCATTTGGAAATGGAGAGGAAATGAATTAACACTGTTCCTTTTTTTTTTTTTAACAAGTGGTGAAAGAGTTTGCCTTCTCAACTCAAGGCCAGACTCTGACCTGAGAAAACCTCTGTAAGCTTGTGTTGGGAGACTGCTTTAAGTGGTTTAGTACTGTATTTAAATCTGCATTTTATCTCTTTCTGATTGCACTGGTAGCCATGGGTCAGCCTCAGAATTTGCTTGAACTAAGAAACGATTAGCAGGTTCAAAGTCATATATTGCTGGTGTGAAAAATGTATATACACATACGTAAATGAAACCAGTATTGTAATCAATGGTCTGTCTCTGTTTTTCTATGTAACAAAATGAAAAAGAAGTAAAAGAGGTTTTTAACTTTCCAGTTTAGACACTTTTATTACTTGTTTTTGCTTCCAGGGACCTTATTAGGAGTGATTTGTTTGTTTAAGTGACTTAAATATTTTTCTTTGTTAACCCTTCCTGTCCTGTGTTCAAACATACATTTTGGCTGTGCTGTTTAAATGTTAAGGTGATTTTTTTGCTCCCCCAGGGCTTGTTTTTATCACATGACAGCTCTTAGTTGTATATAGCCTATGTGTGCAGTTTGCAAGGGATGATGCTCTGGGCTTTATGTATTTATTTGGTTTTGGTTTATGGTCATTCTCCTTTGGACAGTTGCAAAACATATTTGGTGTTAGTTGTGCCATCATCTCAAATCTATAAACAGTGACAGTGTATGGCAGCTAGTACAATCAAGTCCTGAAGGGTATGGTGTACGTGCTATAGGTTGAAAGAGGAGGATGGATGTGGTGTTGGTTGAAGTAACAAGCTGTTAGCTTTTGAAAGCTTCTCTTTTGCAGATGGTTTCTATTAGCAAACTCTTACCCTGTTAAAGCAATGCATTTCGCTGGCATTACTTTTATCGTTGAAACTATAAGAGTGGTAAGAAATCAGTACTGCCATCGCATGGGGACTGCAGTCTTGTGCATGACTGATGGCCCAGAGGGAATAAGGTATCGTCTGGACTGTCCCGTGGGTTTTGCGTGGTAACAGCAGGGTCAGGAAGGGATGAGTGAGAGTGGTTCCTTGGGGCAGAGGAAGATAAAGAGAGGAGGAACAACAGCAGCAAAGTGGTTGCACAGCCATCCCAGGCTGCTGGACCTCCTTCGGCCAGGAGCCAGGGAGGTCTATTCTGCCTTGGGACATGTCTGAAATCACAAACAGTTTTGTTTGTTAATGTGATCCACTGGACGAGTGTCTGTCTGCACTGATTACTGATTGCAGGGCTTAAATGCTTCCAGGGACATAGAAAGCAAATGGATTTGTTTAAACAAACAAACACACCCCTTCTTTTTTTTTTTTCACTGGCCCTTGTTTTACCCGCTGGAGACGTGCATTTCAGGAGAGGCTCTAGGGCTCTTTGCTCCTGCCTTGTGTGGCCTATTGATCTGTGACCCATGACTGGGCTCCCAATCCTCACTGAGACACCAGATCCACTCCCTGGCCCCTAAGGATTCAAATACCAGTACTGCGTGCTTTGCTTTCTAAGTGGTAAAGGTTTTCTTTGCAAGCTTGTCTTAAGAAGATCTGGAAAATAAAACACCTTTCACTTGGTCCACCATGCACCATGCTATCAAAGTTTATTCTTCTTGCCACTTTACATCTCCCTGCGTATTGAATTGAAATGTCACCATCTAGATTCAGACCACATGTGCACCTTTCTGTTGAGGATACTCACCCACAGTGAGGAGCTCATGGATGTTGTATCACCTCTAACAGGTGCATTATTATGAGAGTCATTTTAAGGGTGGGAGAAGGACTCTTACAGTGGTATTTGTAGTCCTGCTATAACATGGTTGAATTTGGGTCAGGGTGGAGGAAGGTTGTTATTCTGTATTTGTGAAATCTAGTTTCCAAGCTTCCTCACTTTGAAACCTATGATATTTTAAATTACTGTATTTTAATGAGAATTTTGTGTTTACAACTTTGACATATGTCCTACCCATAGTGATGGTGTAGAGCACATAGTTTTCTCATCTTTTCCTTACCACCAGGAATGAATTGTGGTTGCACGGTCATACCTATGTAATAGGCAGAAACATTCATTTGGATTATTGGCCTGCCCATGTTGTGTGAAATCTGCTTGAATTTGTTGCTTAATTTAAATTTATCATTTCTTTCAGATATTCTCTGTTGACAGTTATGTGTGTTTTGAAGAGGTTACACAATCACTTGAGAGACAAATGCTCCCTCCTCAATGTGAGAATAAACTTTTATAGTGGAATATACACATTTTTAAGAGTGGAGTAAACTTAATCCTTCTTTCCTTGTGCAAACAAATTCCAAGTGTTGCAGTCATTTAAAATGAATGATTATGGGAGGAGGCTTGAATTCTTCTTCTTTTTTTTAAATGCAGAAAACTTGCATATTCCTTCACAGTGTGGGCTGCATCCTAAAACAAATCCTGTCTTCAATTTTTTGCCTGTCTTATATGGACACAGGCCTCCTTTCATGAAGACAGTGTGTTGGTGACAAGTGCAACAAAAGTTTCGAGTAAAACCATCATTGTGAAAATTGTAATATTTTTCTATATTGCTTTGGAGTCTGATGGTACGTGGGCAGCTCAGTGGCCCTGACAAAGCAAATTATATGCCAATGGTTGCCAGGTTAATCTGAGCATCTTTGGTACTAACTGACATGATTTTGTTGTAATTTCTTATTTGAGTCATCCATTTCACTGAAACTTCACTGCAGCAAAAAGCCATGCCTGAGCTTTTGTGCAACAGTTGGGCAGAGCTTTGGCCCCGGGTCCTTGATTTTTAGAATGGGGGGAAAGGTCCTAAAGAGTACGAAACTTTCACTTGTTTGATCAAACTGGTCCTCACAAAGTGCTGACACTAGTGTCTAGCAGGAAGGTAGATGAAACAGGTTAGAAACATATCGTAAACGTGAGTATCAAAACTTATTTTGTTTTAAATTTGTATTGATAGGCATTGTAATTAGGAGATAAATAATTTATTAAAGCATTTGAGAGTTTTAGTTTTAAAAGAATTTTGAGTTAGCAAACAAGTAAAGAACGGATGAAACATGGCAAATTCAAATTAGAGAATTCCTCAGTTGGGTCCTGTGGTTTTGCTCTGTTGGTGTTTTTTGTGGTAAATGTGTACGGTAATAAAAGCGTTCCTAAGAAAATACTCAGATGTCATAGAATATTTAAGTATTCAAATTATTTAATGAGATTTAGATTCCAGTTCTACAATTCCCTTATGTAATAAATTATTTTGTAGGTAGGCATCTTTTTGATGTTTTCATAAAGGTCAGGCTTGTGTAAAGATAACTCCATATACTGTATGTGTATAAACTGTTTCAACAGGTTTCTAATATCAGAAATTTTGGAAGGCTTCCTTGAAAACAACTTCTGTCAGAAGAATGGCGGCGTCTTCTCTACAAATTTGTGCATTGCTGCTGGCTTTAGCAGGATTCACCATTATACTTGTTACTACCATGTCTAACAGATGGAAAATTTCGGACACTGCAACAATGCTAGTTACTGCAGACTGGATTTCTGAAGGTCTTTGGATGGACTGTGCAGTGACTGCTTTTGGATCAATACAGTGCAAGAAATTTCTCTACATGTTGAGTTCAGACAGTGAGTGCACATGGCATATGTATATAAAATCCAGGGATGTAGTTTTATTCCTTTTTTCCAGACAGCACGTTAGCGTGGTTGGACAGCATATACTGTGGTTGTCACAGAGGGTCTATTATGGACAGGATTTGTCCTGTAGTACTTGCCGACAGGTTAAAGGGCCTCAGTGAAACCCATATGCTTCATCCTGCAACTCAGCTCAGTAACTGCTGTGGCTTTATTGCCATCTCTGTTGTGTTGGCATAGAAGTATGGGTGATATACAATGAATCTAATTTTTTGTTTGTTTTATTTTGGAAGAAGTAGTATCCTTTTACATGGCCCAATTCTTAACTACAAGCAGATCATAGGTCAGTGAGCACTGGTGCTTGTTTGTGCTTTGGTGTGAGACAAGGCTTCGTAGATATTCCAGAATTTCTTTGATGCTTTGTGCTAAATCTGTGTATTTGTTCTGGAATGTCTTGGAGGTGGCCAGCTTAAAATACGTCTGTGTGACTGATGCTTTTGTGTTTTCTGAGGTAGACCATGCTAGCAGGGTAGTTTATCTGCAAATAGAAAGAGAAGAATTGTCTTTGTAGGGACTGAAAATTATTTGTTTGGATTATTCTGGTTTTCTAAAATATCTTTCTGTAAATACCTTTTTTATGGTAAAGGACTAGGAAGGACTGACATTTAAGTTCTTTCCACAGAAAACTGAATGTAGAAACAGTAACAGTATAGCCTTTGAAAACTGGTATTTTGTTAAGCTTTCTGTCTTAAACAGAACTCTGCATTTATTCTTTTACAACTTTCAGTATTGTGCAGTCACTTTATGAGTTATATCATGGAATCATTTCTTCAAGCCTTCCCTGCTTTACAGATCCCTGATTACTGTCATTGCTTTTTGTCTGGACTCTTTCCAGCTGATTTATTCCTGATGTGCAGTGCTCAAAACTTACAAGTACCATGTCTCACAGACTACGAACACTTGCTTTTCTTGACACAGACATGGACTCCACTGAAGTCAGAGCTGCCTAACTGTAAGGCAGATCTTTAAAATGTGAGAGTTTAACTCTCAAGAGTTAACTCTCAAGATTCAGCATACTTGTGGTTCTTCCTCAGGGCCCTGACTTTGGTGACCTCATCTGCTCTCATAACAATGGTGCCAGTTTAAGAATAATTATCAGCATCCTGTAATGAGGCCAGAATTTGTAGCCTCAAAAGGAGGCTAATCATATCCTTCCAAGGATTTTAAAATTGCATCAGAGACAATGTCAGCTTTTCATACCATTCTGGTACCCAGTATCAGAATGCTTTTCTCTAAGACTTCCTCTATGTAGATACCAGGATGCCTAAGTTTCATCTAGAAACTTAGATATGATTTCTGGAAATTAGAGTGATGAGATGGAGCCAACAATCCTTCTGTTCTCGTATGTAGTAGCAAGATGGCACAGATGCTTACGATGGTGTGGCAGCTCTGCCTTGCCTCGTGTAACAGGGAGAAACAGATGTTTCAGCCCTGTTATGGAGACAAGCAGAGTCAATGTGGGACAGCCTCCTTTTTTTAAAATGCAGTTTCATTACACCCAACATGGAAAGAAAATATTCCCCAGGAACAGAAGAGTTCCTCATGAACTGAAGCAGTTGCCTCCCTGGGGCTTCTCTTCCCTCCCTTCCCGTGGCCCCCATAATTGGAAAAGAGGACCCCTGGTTGACAGCGCTCGGTGGATCATCTTCAGCTGTCCAAAGAACGGTGTGTCCCCTAAAATCAGCGTGGGGTTCCTCATGCCAACTGATGGGCACATCATGTGACTGCCTGGAGAGTAATTGCTGTCTGTCACAGGGCTGTTTCTCTTTCTACACTACTCAGTCAGCATTCCTGGGCCTTGAAACAAATCTACAGAAGTGATCAAAAAGGTGCAGCTCATGTTGACCAAACATTTAAGGAGTTAATATTTTCGGTATTTTTTCCCAACTGTATTGGCTGGTCTGATTTTAAAAAATACTATTTCTGCTTGTAAACCCTCTCTCAACGATATTACTTGCAAATATACTCTGTTCTGAGAATATCAGAGGGATTAGGAGCAATTTCTCTCTATGGCCATATATTGCTATGGTCATACGTGGTCACATCTTGGCATGTCAATGTTAGCATTTTACTTACATCAGGAGTACATTTTTGTAGTGAATTTTCCAATTATTCCCATTTACTGCACTTGGTTTGCATTGCAGAGTGGTCTTGGAGTGCAAATTGGTTTCCTCGTGGATGGAGCAGAGCAGGGAAATGTGCTCCAGGAATGCACCTGCTGACTTCCAGCTGTTGATGGGTGTTCAGTTCGCTCGACCAGGTTAGAGCAAGTCTGAAGGAAAACTCCCAAGTCGTGGATGGTGTTGATGTGAAGCTATCAACACCAACTCTTTTACTCTGCTGATGCAGAGCCTCCTGCAGAGCAGCATTTGCTGATACGTCCATCGCTTACCAAACCATAGTTCACAAAATTTAGTGAAGAATAACCTATGTTCTTCAACACCACTGAAGAGTGATTTCCTTAAGGGAATGATTAAAATGCCTGGTTCCATACAGGAAAAACTCATGCATTCCAGGTCTGCAGTTTAATCTTTTCTGTTTATATGTGTGCTTTATGACTGCCTGTTGAAATAGCTTTCTTAATTAGGAAGAGGTGTTTTTTTAAAAATGAAATTCTTAAAAAATTTTTTATCCTTGGCAGCAGTATAAAATCTGGGGACACTTGATTCAGGTTCCCAACTAAACTGAACATTGAAAGTGCTGTCAGCAGAAGTGAGCGCTGAGGTCACCAGGGTAGCACCTGTGTATGGATAAATTAATTTGAAACTCTTTGAAGGGCTTTTAATGGGATGCAGGTACTCCAGTATACTGGTACAGTGTGTTCATTTTACTATGCCATCATTTTTCAAATTGCAGTGACTTAGCAGGAGGAGGGAATTCTGTAAAAGTCACACGAGAAGATCAGTTCTTACCATACACCATCTAGTTTCTTTAAAAGGCTGCAAGTGCAAGGCTGCAAGTGCAGAGCTGCACAAGATCACACTGGCTGTGCTGCCAAATCTGTTCGTATTTAAATCAATGGCAGCGATCCTCTTGGCTGCCAAGGGAGCAAAAATGCCGCGGTGGCACTGTAGTATCCTTTTGCAGCTGAGCCTACCAACCTACAGCATCAGCTCAAAGTGACCAGTGAATTTTGAAAAAAAAATCCAGCTATCTGTTATGGGCAAGTTGTGACTCTCTCAACAGCTAATCCTTCTGGTAGTCTTTACGTAAATGCCGTGAATCTATTACTATGTTGCATCATAGCAGGATTATTTTATGAAGAAACTGACTCCATTTCCTGGAGATAAGAGCAGGTTATCACTGCAAGAGATGGTTAACCCAGTTTGGTTATACAAGCAGTTTAAGGTATTAACTTTAGTGGGTGATGTGAACTGAGTCTAGATTTTGTCTAGTCAAGAGCAGAAGCAAGTAAACCAAGTTTAACATACTTCTACTTCGCCTAGAATAGATTTTTTTTTAATACTAAGATATTCTGATAAACAGATGCTATCAGCTGATACGTATTATTTTTCATATAGCTGTTTTCCTTCATAATTTTATTCCTTTTGAGAGACGTCTGTCGCATTGGCTCATTCATTCCCTTATATTTCATTTCTGTGAAACATACATTGTTACAATTGTATTCCAGTGTAAGTGGGACTATTTTTAAGACTGAATGTGTTTAACTATAGATGAATAGGCTGTAAATTATTAATGGAAACCACTCATCCACAGACTTAACCTTCCTGAAAGAAGCTGGCAGTACCATTGCTATGGATTGCTCATGACCATAACTCAAAAAAATGTGCTAAATTTTCTAGCAACAGAATAAAGTTCCTGTTCTTAAGCTTTTTTGTGCTTGAGTCATCAAGAAAATAATACAGTAAAGCTTTTTGAGATCAATAATAAAATTACAAACAATTTTAATCTTGTGTAAACCCTAGTTGACTTCAGAGGAGAGACAGAAATAAAGTATTTGCCAATATTATCACTCTTACAAGATATTTTGTAGGAATACTGACTGGACTTTCTAGGCTGAGACTAAGAATAGGCTCATTTTGTCACTTCTCGTTAAAAAAAGAATTAATATTGTCATTTTTTTTAAAATGTTAATATCTTTATCATGAACTGCTCCCACTTCTTATTGTCCTGCACTGCAAGCCTTATCTCTGGGGTTGAGCAAAGAGCAAAGGTAGCCTCATTTTGGAGTGAAACCCAGACATAAAACAGCAAGGAGGCTTCTGAAAGGCTTCACTTGATTGTAATCCAATTATAGGGATATTTAACTGTTACTATTCACAAGCATGACTGCTGCATTGGAAATTGTTGGGTTTTTTTTGTGCTTGGGTGGGTGGGCAATTATTGGAGCTACTTTGCCGAATAATTACTGGAAAGTCTCTAGTATACATGGTAGTGTGATCACAACATCTACGTTGTTTGAAAACCTGTGGAGGAGCTGTGCAGAAGACAGCACTGGAGTATCCAACTGCAGAGAATTTGACTCTATGCTTGCACTGCCTGGTATGTGCCTTTGCACAGTCTTGTTTATATTGCTTAAAAATTTGTTGGAAAAAAGTAGTAAGGCTTTTGTTTTGGTAATCTGGTAGTACTGGAAAATAACTGGCCAAGAAGGACTTTGTGGGTTGAAGTAATAAGAATCTCTTAAGCAGCAGAATGTGTCAAGGATGTTAGGAAAGGCTATAAAATAAGGCAAATGAAGTCGCTTGATCAAGCATTTATTTTAATAGGCATTTTAAATACGGTGTAATCTCTTTTCTAGCATCTTGTGGGAGGAATTACTAGGAGACATTTTTTAACACATCTTATGACAGTTCCATGTTTATTTGGAATTCTTGTATAGGCCTTCTTTTGCAATACTTGATAGCCAATATACTGTAGCTGGAGTTTTTTCATAGAATAGGTAAGAAATGCTATTTATAGCTAAGAAGTGG